AGGGACATGACAACAGTTTTCAAGTACATAAATGGTTGTTACAAGGAGGAGGGAAGAAAAAATGTGTTTCTTAACCTCTGAGGATAGGACAAGAAGCAATGGGCTTAAATTGCAGCAAGGGAGGTTTAGGTTGGACATTAGCAAAAACTTCCTGTCAGGGTGGTTAAGCACTGGAATAAATTACTTAGGGAGATTGTGGAATCTCTGTCATTGGAGATTTTTAAGAGCAGGTTAGACAAACACCTGTCAGGAATGGTCTAGATAATACTTAGTCCTGCCATGAGTGCCGGGGACTGGACTAGATGACCTCTCGAGGTCCCTTCCAGTCCTATGATCCTATGATCATCAGGGTTGGACCCTTTAGATCATAGCACAGACCTCTACCCACTTGAGCTAATGGAATACCTGATACCAGTAGCAGACTGTTATCTTTGACATGGACAACCTACTTGGGGTGATGGTGGTGAGACATATATATTGCTAATGGGTTTCACAGCTACTTTCTAGACAGCAGAGCAATGTTAAGATGCAGGAATCAGAACTCTGTTCCAGGTTCTGTCTACTCTTGTGGTTACAAAGTGCCAACCCTCCACAGCCTGTTTCTGCTCCCAAACCTCTCAAACCCTGGAGTCTGTTTCTCCCTCACGCTACCACCCAACTCCTCATCCCAATGCATTCCAATCAAGCTATTTCCTGAACCTTTAGCACATCTGGTACATAAATATATTGTGATGCCAGTGCCATGCGAATGCCTGTTCTCACTTTCAGGTGCCATTGTAAACAAGAAGCAGGCAGCACTATCACCTGCAAATGTAAACTTGTAAATGTAAACAAATTTGTCTGAGCAACTGTCTGAACATGAAGCAAGACCGAGTGGACTTGCAGGGTCTAAAGTTTTACATTGTTTTATTTTTGAGTGCAGTATTTTTTGTACATAATTCTACATTCGTAATTTCAACTTTCATGATAAAGAGATTGCACTACAGTACTTGTAATGGGGGAATTGAAAAATAGTATTTCTTTGTTTTTTTACAGTGCGAATATTTGTAATAAAAAATAAATCTAAAGTACATTTTGTATTCTGTATTGTAACTGAAATCAATATATTTGAAAATGTAGAAAACATCCAAAAATATTTAAATAAATGGTATTCTATTATTGTTTAAGAGCACGATTAATCACGATTAATTTTTTTAATCGCACAATTAATCACGATTAATTTTTTTAATCACTTGACAGCCCTATGTGAACTCACCTTCCTGTGGGTTATATAGACTTTAAGGCCAGAAGGGACCATCGTGATCATCTAGTCTGACCTCTTGTACATTGCAGGTCACAATACCTCACCCACCGCCTCCAATAATAAACCCATAACCTCTGGCTGAGTTACTGAAGTTCTCAAACCATGCTTTAAAGATTTCAGGTTTCAAAAGAATCCACCATTTACTCTAGTTTAAACCAGCATCAAGTAACCCTTCATCAAGAATCCCTGTTCTCAAAATTAACTGTTATTTTTTTAGGCCTGAGGTCAGAGATCGAAGGACTTCATCAGTAGAGATGTCAAGACTGCTTAAGTTCTGGAGTCAAAGCAGAAACTGAAACCATTGGAAGGTGGAATGATTATACACCAAGTGCCAAGTCACACTGAGGTGGCATGAGTGTATTTGGATACTTGGCCTCCATCAGCATATAAATGAAGCAGTGCTCAAGTCCTAATAAAAGAAGTACTAGAACATAGTTCTGTTACTGTAAGTAAAAGTACCAGATGTACTGGAATGGTGCTCTAGCACCCCCCGCCCCAATGCTGGATTGTCATTCCGGCCCCTCCAAAAACTGCTGGCACAATTCAAGGCCTGAAACTAAGGGTTACACACAGTCACAGCTATTGCCAGAAAATAAGGCAGAACAGTCTCTCAGGCTTGGCTGTTCTTGGGCCATTATATGTGAATTAAGAGTCAGGTGCTCCTCTCAAGCTAAGGTGGCTCATTGACAACTCCCAGCCAATTGACTTTACATTGGCCACAGATCTTGGAAAGCTGCAAGTCAGGCCAACACTTTTACTGCCTGTTATATTTAGTTTCTATTGAGGAATAGTGACTTTAAATACTCTGATTACAAATTCCTTTAGCAATGTAGCATTTCAACTATTATATAATTAGTACATGACAAGAACTGTCTGATTTGCCCAATAAAGAATTTTTACTTAACATAGTGCTTAATTTTATGCAGAGTAAAGGTTTTGGGGAGGAATAGATTGCGCGGGGGGCGGGGGGAGCGAGGCTGGCTCCTCTGTATGTTTGTATTTTGAAGTTTTCCTATCCTACAGACCATGGTTAGGGTATAAAACAAGCATATTTTACAAGCATTTTTTAAAAAAATCAATGCACAAAAATGTACAGAAGAAAGTACTCGCATCTGTTTGCATAGT